AACTCTCAGAATCAATATAAAAATACCTATATAATTGCTTACATTGTTCACTATGATACAGGATATCATTATTTTAGGATCCCACCCATAAAATTCTTAGAACTGTATGCCTGGCAGTCTCTAAAGAGTTTCTATGAAAATAAAAACTACATAATCCATTGCATATGCCTTTATCCCTTTTGCTGCCAGGAAGCCAAGGGATACACTTACAGTAACACTAAACCTCAATAATCACTTCATTGCCAAATTCTTGGCACAAATTATTGTAGTCCTTTGTACTAAAGATCTGATTTATCTACTTAACAAATCGTTTGTACCTATGATAATCACAGAGCACATTTTAAATCCTTTCTTAAAGACAGGTGAAGTATTCATTATGAAATTATCACTATCAACTTAAACATCAGCGCATTTGCTAATATAGCTTTGGTAGAGATGATTCCTTAAAAAAATCAGTTCTAACATCAGATAAGGTTTGAAAATAATTTTAAAAAATGACCAGCCTACCATCCAACACAATCACTAGCACCAATTTGTTATTATATCATTTGATGATAATCAACCGACAGTTCATTTCCAGACATACCCCAAAGCCATGCTTAGGGGAAAAAAGCTTACCCTTGGGCACAGAAGAATGTTTTGACAAGGCATGCTTCTAATAACTTGAAAAAGGTCTTCTTTAGTCATATTAAAAATGTGTTGCAACACAATGCCTTGTTTTACTGTATATAATTCTAATTTCAATAACCAAGGCCAATCTTTCCCTCCAGTAGTATTAAAGGTAAAGAATTTCATTAATGAGTCTTAAAAACCCCATGAATTATACTCATTACAGAGCCTGGTCAATAAACAGTTCAATGAATCCTGAAAAAAAAGCTTAGTATTATTCTTACAGTTTCCTCTAAATCTGAGATGTAAATTAGGCAGTGATTGATGGCAGAACAATTGTGCCTAAAAACCTGTTTTCTCTGCATATCAGGTGGAAAGAACTGGTTCAGCAATTTAAAGGGCAACAGTCCTTGTTCCCTCCTACCTAATGGAGTGATCTGCAAAGGACTTTGGGTCAATCACTCTCCTAGATATTTTGAAGAGGCCAGATGCCTGGTTATATGTCCAACCAATGAGAAAACTAGCTTCTCCTTTCCCTTTCCCTTTTATCATCAGGCATTAACTGCACCAGACTGGCACTGAATGTTAACCACAAAAAGGAAATAAAGTGAAATCTAATAAGCAGGTGGTATTCTTAAGAAAAGCGTAAGAATTTACAGAGATGTTGGCATGTGCGAATCATAGGGTATTAACAACCAAAGAATATAGTTCTTGGGACAATCCTAAGCAACCAAAGTTAGTATTCCAACTAGAGTAACCAAATAAACCAAAGTTATGTATTAATGTTCAAGAGTACTGAGTAAAAAATATTTAGTATATTCAAAAGCTTTAAAAGTCAGATGAGCTATATCAGCAAAATTTTAAAAGAATAATTCCCAGATTAGGGAAAATTACTTAATCTCTGAATTTTAGTTTCCCCATCTGTAGAATGGGGGTTAACAGTAACTCCTCATATCATCGTTGATGGTATTATGTGTATAAAGTGTTTAGCATAGGATGAAGCACATAATAAGCATTCACTATACATTAATTACTAGTATTTTATTTCTGCTGATGAGACTGGAAATTCAACTTTATTGGAGAACAATTTGGCACTAAATAGTAAAAGCCTGAAAAATGGTGTATATCTGATCAAATAATTTCCTTCCTAGGGGTTGATCCTCAAGAAATAGTCAGAAATGTTCAATAGGTTTTCATATAAAAGCATTAGATCAAAATTAGATCAAATATTAGAAATAGCTAAAAATTAGGATTTATTAATAACCACCGTTCTCCAAGGGAGGCCAAAAAAACCATCTAAAATCATTTAAAATGATGGTATAACCATAAGACCATAAGACAAAGACTATATGGCTACTTAAAATCATATAGACTAAATATTAACGGGAGAAACTAGTCACAATGTTACTATGTGATCAAAACTAAACTGTTTCTTATATTTTTGAGGAAGTGTGTAAACATGCACATACATTTATACACCAACATCTGGAAGGCCACAAACAACATGTGAACAGTTTATCTTGGCCGTGGCACTATGTGGGATAGGTCTTTTCCCTCCTTGTTCTCTTCTGTATTTTCCACATTTTCTGCAATACCCTTACCACCTCTTCTTAGCAACATTTATTGTGTATTTGTGTTTGACAATGTTCTAAGAACGCTAATCCTATCTCATTTAATCCTTACAGTGACTGTATGAATACTTGTTTATAGAGATGAGATTACCGAGGGGAGGAAAGGCTAAAGATGTAAATCCAGGTTTTTTTTTTAATTTCAGAGCCTGCACTTTTTAACCTCTCCTACTACATGTTCGTGTGTGATACACCCACATCCATGTATGTATGTGACAAAGGATGATCTTCATTTCAAAAAAGGCCACTCTGGTGAAAAGCGCATCAATCCCTATGTAGCAAAGAGCAAAACTGTTTCATTTGAAGATGGGCTCTCTCATTTCCCATCTGATGACTCACTGCCCTCACTGAGCTACCCTGTCTTTTAGATCCCAAGAATCCCCCGGGGGGCAGCAATTAGCATTTCTTCAGTGCAGAAAAGCCAAAGGTTGGAGGAGAAAATGAGGGGTGGGGAGAAGCTCCAGAGGCATCATGTGTGATCGTATTCAATGAAGATTTCAAAACATCTAAGGCGTCAAAAAGCTAAAGATTAAGCCACAAACAAGGAAACCTAACCAATCACTAATAACCCACACTGGGCTTAACCTTAGCCAATGTTTCCAAGCATGCTACTGTCCAGTTGTTTAAAAATGAAATTTGAGCCTTATATCTGAGGGAAGGACATTGTGATTGCTGATAAATTTAGACAAAATCAGTAGAAAATTGCCTTGTTGTCCCCTGCCCCTTCCCAATATAGCCGGGAAGGGTTCAACAAGAAAAAAATGTCTTTTTTCCTATGTTTGATGGAGTCTTTGAGTAGAAAAATTTAGGATGGAAGATCTCACAAGGACAGACACCAGAGGTGAGGGTAGGGATGATTAATAAATCTTAACTAAACCAGCTATGGAAGGAAGGTTCCAGGAATCTAAGGTGGGGTCAGAAAAGATTATCAGCCAAAGGTGGGGCAGAGAGGATCATCGATCTTAGAAGACCAACCCAATCTGACCGCAAGGGGATAATTTCCACAATAATTCCATCAAAGAACACCCCTTGCCCTGTCTTTTAAGACTGCCTGTCTGCATCTATGCAGGCATCTCTTGCTGTGCGCTCATGCATGATAACGTCTGCTGAATTCTTTCTCAGAGGGACCCAAGACCCCACACACCGAATGTTACCATGTGGACCCCAAAGGAAACCAGAAAATGATTTGATAACCACCGTTCTAAGGGGTGGTATGTCTTTAAAGGCAAATCATTCTTGTCCCCTAGCTGTATTGTCACTTGCAAAGCCTGGTCCTGTTTGTCTTTATTATTTCCCATGAATCATAATGCTGTGGTCTAAGATAAAGACAGCTTGCCTAGTCTCTTTTGACTTAGGTATTGCCTGGTTACAGATGACATCCATGTTTGCACTAACATTTGCCTCAACCACTGGCACAATAATCAAGCATCCAAAAGGATCTGTCTACTAGAGAGGAACACTTGCAGCTGTCTAAAAAGAACAAGGGGAGTTGCACTTTGGTAATCTGTTTAAGGATAGAAAAAAGGAAACAAAAGTATTTAGGAAAAATATATAAACCAATCTTAACTAATTTAACTGATCAGTAGAATTGATATAAACTTTCCCTTTCACAGATATCTGTAATATTGTGGGCCCTGCTCTAATTTGATCAACAGGGTGCAACCACAAAACTACAAAGCACAGCTGTCAGAACCAGAAGATTCCTCATTTAGATGGAAGAGGTACTGTGGGGATCAGATAACCAAGTTATCTCTAAGATGGCCCCAAGGTGCTTGTGGAAAGTGGAAGTGGGGGGGGGAGGGAGCAAGTTTAACTGGCAAGGCAATGAAAAAAATTCGAGTTGCAATGCACTGTGGGATCCTGATCTTACACTCCATTATCTCTTCTCGGTTATCTTAACATTCAAGGATAAGATTGTTTCCTACATGCCCCACATAGCACTAAGAGAAGTGGACAGGTTCTGAATAAACTGTGCTATTGAAAAATATGCTTTTGTATGATCTGTACCAGCAGCTGCATCGGGGAAGGTGGCGGATTCCCGAATTAAGGTGCCCTAAAGACGTTCTGGATGGCTCACGCGGAGATGCTTCCAGTCGGGTTACCAAGTTAATGGATCATTTTGTCCAACCAACTAAATCGAACTTAAGTATGGGTCCGATTCTCATGAACAGCCAACGCTATCCCATGTGAGGGAGTCCTCAGTAATAATTTTGGCGCCCTCAGTTTGTCATGTCAGTTTCCTTCAACACCAAATCCGACTGACATTTCGAATCGAAAAGCTGCTTCTTAGACTCTAGGAGAATCACCAACAGGGCTCAATATGTAGTAGATTCTCCCATGCGAGCTGGTCCAAGAGCTGAAGCAAACCCAATCTGGCCCGGATGGCTCAAGAGCAAAGCGACAAAGCCACGTGTCCCCATGGCCAAGGCTAAGCGTCTCTCCCTTCACGTCGCTACAGGCAGCCACCATCCCCGCGTTGGGTCCTCTAGCCCTTGCCTTCAGACCTAGCAGTTCTGCCTCATGCTCCATCTTGACTCCACCCCACCGCACGGTGAGAATAAACGTGACTCTCCCGCGAGAGGCAAAATAACGGAAACCGCTCTTGGGGCACCCTTGCCACAGAGCAGTCAGTCCCAGCCTCCCCCCCACGATGGCCCCTCGCTACTCACGTGGCAGCACCATCTCCCCTACCCTCCGCCGCCCAAGCGCCGCCTGCACTACCCATGCAGGTGCAGCGGGTCGGGGTCCCACCTTCGCACTTACCAGGTCTCCTGATTGCTGAATTTCTTAGTCACCACCTTGCCTAGCTCCAGGCCCAGGCGCTCGGCAATTTTCTGGGACAAGTCCTGGTGGGAGCTGCCGCTAAAGATTTTGATGTTCGGCATGTTGGCCCACTGCCCTGGCCTCTCTTCGTGCGGCGATCGCGGCTGCTGTTGAAACCCGAACCCAAGTCGCCCCGGAGACTGTGCAAAATGCTTCGCGTTGCTACTCCGCCATCTTACATTCCCGCCCGGCGCGCGGCTCTAAATTAGCCCAGCTCCGGGGAGGCGGGGTCCAGCGGGCCGTCCACACCCCCCCGCTCCGATTAGCGGAGCCGCAGGGAAGGGCGGGTCGTCGCTGGAACTCCGCCTGCCCCCGAGTCGCGGAGACCGCGGCCGGCGGCGGGGAAGTCGCCCCGCCTCTGTAGCCAGGCAGCCCGGGGAGCGGCGCGCGGAGCCCGGAGATAAACGGCGCTCGCCGGAGATGCGGGGATGCTCGTGACGCGTCGAGCCAGCTTTTTCCCGCGAGCGGGAAATCAACCACGCTTTTTTTTTTTTTTTCCCTCCTCAGCACCAGAAAGTGACATGGGCTCTATTACACTTTCTCTTAAGCAAATCCGTTTATCAGGATGGCAAGCCACAGCTCATCAGAATAAAAGAGATTTCTGAACATGTTTGGCATGTTTCTGAACGTGGTTTTTAAAATGTCTTTGTGAGAATGAGGCCCAGTTAAAGCTTTTTCACATCGGACACCCAGAGCACGGCCGCATCCGGAAGGCTTGGTTGCTCTTTGAAATTGCACATTGTTGCTTTGCCTGGAAGGCAAGCAATGCCCAAGGGGAAAGTGAATAAGGCCACGCCACCTGAATCATCCAGAGACTCCGCAAGAGAAAGCTGTTTTGTTTCTAAGGCTGGGATCAAGTACGTTCACACAAGTGAAAGTGTGTGGATTTTCCACAATATCTGCGCACTGAAGGTCTGATTGATCCAAGCCTTGGAAAAGAGTGCACATCCAGTACACGTGCATAACATTCGCCTAGCGAACTCTGAATCAGAAAACCTGGTTTTTGGTCCTGTCTTCCTCATGTGAGCCTCAACAGCATCATCTATATAAAAAAGGCCTTTCCCACCATATTTGATTATTTTTCTAATGATACTTGCTAATTAAACCAAAGACAGCCTTTATACTTTCACCACATTTTCATTAAGCATAGTCCACCGATGTGTTGAGAGAAAAATTATACCATTTAAGAATCAAACGATTTTAGTTGTGTGTATCACCGTGCAAGCTGTAAAAATAGAAGGGGCTTCAACAGCCCTCTATTCACTAACTTCATTTTACATAAGGTGAAGCCAACTTCCAGGGGTGGAAAGGATTTGTCTAAGTGGTGTAGGCAGAAAATACTCAAGGCAACATCCTGTCTTTCTCTTACTTGCATTTTCAGCAGTGTCCATGGAGGACCTCTCTTTCTGACCTTTTTTTTTTTTTTAAAGATTTATTCATTTATTTATACAAGCACTGGGTACAGTCAGAAGCACGGGAGGGTGAGAGAATCCACCAGAGACAGAGCGGGGAACAGAACAGGCAGACTGATGAAACACACTGCTGAGGGGAGCAGCGGGCGTGGCAGGAGAGGTCTGTGTGCCATGTGGGATCCCAGGCGGATGGGGATCGAACTGCTGGGAGCTTCGCAGCCCAGCACTCAACCACTGCGCCACCAGGGTGGCCCTCTTTCTGACCTTTTATCATACTTTTACAAGTTCAGAATTTTAATGTAGGCTTAGATGTATAGGAATACTTGGAGAAGGAAGTAAATTGCAAGGCAGAATATTAGTAGCCCCCCCCCCCATAATGGTCCATTCATCAAAGATTTACTGCATGCTTTATTGCATATAAGGCAGTGTGGTAGGCATGAAGGGGACTGTAAAGTGTTTGCCCGAAAGGAATTCATTCACTCAAATATTTATTGAATACTTATGTGTGTGAGATCCCGTTCTGGGTACTGAGAATACAGCAATAAACAAAAACCCCTGCTCTCCTGGAGTGTACATTCTCAGGAAGGGCTTCTTTCACAATCAGCTTTCATTAGCTGGGCTTCCTTGTCATCTTCAAGCAACCTGTCTCGCTCCTTCTGGGTATTAGCATTTCTTTCAAGATATTTTCTCTTTTCTGTCTCTGGCCTATGTTCTGATCTTTCCCTCTCAGAACTAGTGTAAGCTGTCCTCATTGTTCATATTCTGCCTTTGCTTTGTCAGCCAACAGAGTTCAATGTCAAAGTGATGGCTGGCAGATATCGCTTTTGTAAGCATACCAGAGGGCTTTCAAAACTCACCACGAAGCACATTGCATCTGTAGAGGCTGCCTGATGTGTACTGAGTTCATCAAGCATCAGGAGTCGAAACTTCCATTGGGCCCTGGTCTCCCAAAACCTTTTTTTTTTTTTTTCTTTCGCGAGCATGCAATCTCTTTGAGAGCAGAGCATGCATCTCCAGCAGCCCCAAGCATAGATCCTCAGAGTGGATACATGTTAAATATTAAAGATTTGCTTCTTCTCTTCATTTCTCTGTCATCATATTGTGTGTTTGGAACTGTTCCCTACCATATTTTCTCACGAGACTTTCAGGATCGAGTGATTCTTGGCCAAGAAACAAAAACAGGGCTGTCTTATTCCCTAATGGATTGGAGAATAAAATCAGATAATAAAATCAGGTACAACTCCAAGAGGAGAAATGGTGAACCAAGCTGTGTCTATAAGGACTCACCCGTAAGATGCCACACATATTTATGCTGCAACAAGGTCACTAGCATCTTGTCATATCATGCTGAAGCATCACTACTCTTTGGATATATTTTATTAGGAAATGATTTTTCTCTTTATGTGTTTCTGCTCTAGTAGGTTGGCTTAGTAATAAATGTGCGAGACCTTTTTTGGAAAAAAAAATGAACATTTTAGGATTTGAATTGAAAATTGGGATTGATAAGGAAGAAAGATTCAGAAGTGACTTAATGAATTTTCAAAAGGATGCAATGCAAGGGTCCTTTGAAAGAGTAAAAGACAGGTATGTAAATCATGGTTTTATGAACAAGAGTCCATCTTACTTAAGATGAATCCTGTTCCAGAAAATTTAGCCCATAAAATACATTTTACTTGTTTTATCTTTCGTTTGAGTATTTCACTGTCTTAGGTTTCCTGGGACTTGTTACCTGTGAATTGTGGGATCTATTATGCAAGGTCAGTATCCCGGGGAACTAGAATCATCTGTGGATTTAAGAGAAAAGGCATTTCGGCCCAATTTGACAGAAAGGGATTAGATGAAAATGGCAGGTTCAAGTGGGTTTTTGGTTTATTCTGATGTTTAACTTTTATGAGCTGAGGAGTTCTCCCAGTTTAATTATTGAAGTGGGGAATGTTTGGGTGATGCTGGAAGTATTCGCCTTGTTTTAAAAATGCTTAAATGAAAGGATATGGAGAAACTGAGCTCTTTATTTTTTAATTTTTTTAAAATATTTATTTATTTATACATACAAGAGCTGGGGCACAGGCCAGAGGTGCGGGAGGGTGAGAGGATCCATCAGAGACAGAGTGGGGAGCAGAATAGGCAGACTGACTGAAATACACTGCTGAGGCAAGCAGCGGGGGAGACAGGAGAGGTCTGCTGCGCCATGTGGGTATCTCCCCAGCCGGCTGGGATCAAACCCATGCAGCAGAGGCTGCGGACAGCTTCACAGCACTGTGCTCAACTGTCTGTGCCACCAGGGAGACCCAAAATGATCTCTTTTAAAGCTAATAGCCCCCCTAGTCCAACCAATTCATTTTACATAGCAAGAAACTGATATTCAGAAAGGGGAAGTAGATGCCCAAAGTCACACAGCTAGTTCATGGAAGCTCTGCAAGTAGAACCAGTTTTCTGATTGCTGGTACAGGGCTCGTGCTGGCAACTGCATTTCAGAGCCATTACCAATGGGCTTAGGCTACAGTAACTGCAAGTCAAATTGAAGTCATTTCCACCATTCAGCAAGGGAAGAAAAATCTGCCCATTTTCTACTTGGTTCTTTGAAATTTTTTTTAAAGATTTATTTATTTATTTATACAAGCACTAGGTACAGTCAGAAGCGCGGGAGGGCGAGAGAATTCACCAGAGCCAGAGTGGGGAGCGGAACAGGCAGAAGGACCGAAGTACACTGCTGAGGGGAGCAGCGGGGGCGGCAGGAGAGGTCTGCACGCCTTGTGGGACCCTCGGCCCGGTGGCTGGGGATCGAACTGGCGGGGATCGAACTGGTGGGGATCGAATCCACAGGCGGCTCCGCAGCCCAGCGCTCAACCACTGCGCCACCAGGGAGGCCCAGGTTCTTTGAAAAAAAAAATTTTTTTTAATAGAGGCATATTTTATTTATTTATTTGTTTGTTTTGTTTGTTTGTTTTATTTATACAAGCACTGGGTACAGTCAGAAGCGCGGGAGGGTGAGAGAATTCACCAGAGCCAGAGCGGGGAGCAGAGCAGGCAGAAGGACCGAAGTACACTGCTGAGGGGAGCAGCGGGCGGCAGGAGAGGTCTGCGCACCATGTGGGACCCTCCTCCGGTGGCCGGGGAGCAGCCGGGGATCGAACCAGCGCTGCAGAGGCTGCGGGCAGCTTCGCAACCCAGCGCTCAACCGCTGCGCCACCTTTTGCGGGTCACTGGAGGCATTGCATGTTCCCTCAGTGCCAGGTTAGGAATAGGGCAGGAATGCTAGTCCTAGCTCTGGCCTTCCTACCAATTCCTCTGTCCTTCTTGGCTAAGAGTCCTGCTATTGCCATAGAGTATTTTTTTGGCTTGTAACTCGTAAGAGGAAGCAGGAATTGTAGTTCCTTCTAAGAAACTGCAAAGAGATTGCCCATACTACAGATTGATCCTCAAATTTATATGAGGTGGGGGGCAGGGAGAGGAAGGATGAAGGTCTAAATAAGGGGGGTGCAATTGTATGGGGAATATAACCAAAATGAAAAATGCATACCTTGTGCAAAAATGAAAAATGATGTAAGAATTACATAAAATAAAATATTAAAAAAGTTTATATGAGGTAGTGAGAAGCAGGTGGGCTGTTTAGTTTTCAAGTGGGCAGGCTAAGGGGCTGAGTGATCAGGGTACTAGAGAAGGCGAAGGGGACATGCAACTCTGGCTTGTCTTGGCTACTCTCCACTGTCATAATCCCATAATTGCAAGAAGGGATTTCTAACAGTCATGTTACCAAGGTCACTCAGCGTGCCTACCGA